TACTTGTTCAATTTTTTTTAGTTCTCCCTAATTACTTGTCCATTTTGGCAAATCAAAAAAGGATAATTTTTTTTAATTATTATACTCTCACTTAATTACTTTGAAAAAAGATAGAATTTTTTGAAAATCTTTAAGTTTTTAATTTATCAATTTCTTAATTAATAGGAGTAAAATGGTAAACTCGCTATGTCGATCATTGTTTTCTTAACATGCGTGGACAAGTAATTAGAAATAGAGGGAATACACGATCTTGCACGGTTACACACCCCCATTTTTCCTTTAATTCTAATCAAAAGTTTAATTTGTATGTGTATGTATGCGTGATCCATTTGTCAAATATAGGCAGGCTTAGTTCAATTTACTGGTATCAAATTATACTAACGTAATAAATCATGTGGATACAATTATATTCCTCCCATGATATTTCTCTCTGAATTTCTCTGTAATTCCATATTTCTCGAACTATAATAATGTAAACCTCCTCGTAATTGACGTATAATTTGATAGCTAGAAACCAGTATAAATGGATAGGTCAAAATATTACTTAGGCTGAGACGAACTGAGTTTTAAGATAGCTAAACAATGGATCATAAACTAACCCATCCAACTCTTACCAAAGTAAAACCAACAAAACTTTATTTATTTCTTTATTATTATTTTATTTTATTTTTAGTTTCTCCTCCTATATCTGGTATTTATATTGGACTTCGACTACTTAGTTTTGCATCGAAAAGTTCCACATTGAGGATAAAACGCTCCCTAACAAAGACGATTTTGTATTCAAAAGGAGACTCAAATCATAGAGAGTACTTATATATTATAACTATATATCACATGTAACTAGGGTATTGTTGCAATGTGGTGGTCTATAAATTGAAGATATACTAACAGCAAGCAAAATACACAAGTGTTTAACAATATGAAGTCCATCAATATTTTGAGCTTGCTCTTGCTTTCAACTACCCTTAGTTTCCTTTTGTCAATCATCAACCACTTTAACTTCCGACAATAATCCGATGATGATTATGAGTATGATGACGATGATGAAGATATTGCTCTTGTGCTAGATATTTTTTCCATGTTGAATTCTTAAGTAGAGTACTATTCAATCATGAAAATATGGGTAAACTAGTATTTTACTGAATCCATTTGTTACCCATGTCAAATATGGGCGGATTGAATTATTACCCATTTTATGTTGACCCATTTTCAACCCGCCCAAATTTGACCCAACCCGGCCATTTGCCACCACTAATTATGATGATGATGAAGATATATATCCCTCTTGTGCTAGACATGGACGGCAAACCACTCAAGATTGAGGAGGAGTACATAATTGTGAGTGTTCTCACAGGAGGCGGAAACGTATACTTAGCTGATGTTGGAAATACCAAATGCCCAAACGGCGTTGCTGCTTATAATTCTGGTAAATTTGGATCAAGCACCCCCGTGAAATTCGTTACTATCGAACATATATATTCTTTCCGGTGATAAAGTCGAAGAAAATGTAGACATTAATATATATATATATAATGTTCGGTGATTACCACCTAGGTTTGTTGTAACTGGTGGTAACTTAAGATTTCCAGGACCTGAAACCATAAAGAATTGGTTTAAGATTGAGAAATATGTGACCTAATGCTTACAAGTTAAGGTAAATTAACGTGTCTAGAATGTGACGACTTTGATTGTGAATATATCGGATTGACTGTACGTTGATAGTGGAATCAGCCGTCTAGCTCTCAATAACAAGCCTTATCCATTGGCTTTCAAAAAAATTAACATGCATAGTTAATTATCTATGCTAATTATAACCTAGCTAGCTCACTTTCTAACTAATGTGGATCCTCGTTCTATCGATCCTCTTGTATTCCACGTAATATTAATGTTTATGTATAAAAAAGCTAGGTTTTTTTAACTGAAGGGGACACCAAAGGCCTCTATTTTTTTTTTTTTATATTTATCTCGAGTATCTATCTACCAAAATAATAAGTGGTAGCAATTGATGTGCTTGCATGACAACAAATTTGTGATGGTACTTAATTGGCATATTTTACTCGTGGGATCCCGGGACATTACTATACATTTCTAGTAATTATTAGTGGTCCAATTTAGGATGTAAATATTTAAATTGGGTAATTCACGTGCATATATTGGAATGTCTTTCTACAATATAACTCTACCAACCAAAATTAAATAGATAATCTTAGTAAATGATATAGCTGGCTCCTTCTAATTCCAGTATATTATTGAGTTCGTCTTCAAAATGGATATTTTGATACTTTACCAATCAAAAGAGATCCTCTCTAAAAGCACAGATTAAAATGGACACTTCACTCATTTATAGATGAACTGTGACTAACAAAGTTAACTTTGTCAGTTACCCCAAAATAAAAAAAAATTATTATAGCATCCGTCTATCAAAATTAAATTTTTTAGTCACAATTCACTCATAAATGAGCGAAGTATCTGTTTTGATTTGATTTGTAGAATTCAAAAAGTGTGTTTTAGAGCCGGACTCAATTTCCTGCCTCCCCATTAGTTGACAAGAACATTAATGGGATATCACGTCCTTGGAAATCTTCCACCTTCCACACATTGTTCTTACCAATAGTTGGATTGTCAAGAATCAAGATAGAACTCATTTTAATCGATGGACTTTTTTTTTCTTTTTTTTTTTAAATCAAAAGCCATCACCAATAGGTTGTGAGCCTGCGAGTGTGGAGGGTTTGACTAGACCCCTACCATGTAAAATATAAATAGAAATACTTACAAAAGATTAGAGGGGGACATGGACCTTGCCTCTAACGAGCAAAAGAGATTGATCAAACAATCTAAAGGAGAGGAAGTATATAGCCTATACAATTTCCTTTCCGGGAGTACAACAAATAATTAGCTAACATAAAAATTACATTTCTCAAATCTTCTTCTAATCGATGGACTTTATAATGAACTCAAATTTAATAACGACACAAACCAATTTCTCAACTATATCAGTAAGGCTAAATCTCAATTATAATTTGAGAAATTAAATGCAACAACTCAAAAGGCAAAAGCCCAAATAGAAATACAGAAAAATTGAAAGTAAAAACTACCTAGGATCAACTAAAGAAGGAGGCGAGGAACTAGACCTAGAGAAAGCAGAATGAGTGATACATACTTTGCCTAAGCATGGTTATAATAAGCATTAACTATTCTTTCTAAATGTGTGACCTTTTAAACCAATTGTTAATTGGACCTATTTCTCAAATCAACCTTTATGAAGGTCTTCTGATTCTATTTTTCCGCCCAGTAGTTGGTTGTCTGATATCCCTAAGTATATCGACATTGGTCTTGGACTGATTCATAACAGACTCCCTCTGATGTCTCTCAATTTAATCAATTGCATATTAATTTTTATTAGTCATGCCCAGTAGACATAATTAAGTTGAAGAGGAAAGATCTAAAAAAGTTCAAGAAATACTATTGTAATGAGGAGTCATGAATTTTATTGTATATTGAATTGAAGTAGAAGTCTCCTTGTTTATTGTTGTTGTAGAAATTTTTTTGTATAACAATTTTCCAATTTAGGATGCGAATAAACGGATTGGATCGGTACAATTCACACCGTTATCTACATCTCAAGTAGATTTTGTTCGTTTTAAATATTTGTAGTAAAATTTTATCGTATTATTTTAACACATTTTTATAATTAGCAAAAACATTAAGAACAGTTTAATACATTCACTAATGATGTGACAAACACATAAGTAAATGATTATATGTGACATTTAATTATGTAAAAAAAAATTATTTTAAAGTTTCATTCCCACTTTCAATATGTTTTTTTTTTTTTCAAATTTGTTCTTCTTTTTTCCCGTTTCAGATCTGTTTCTTTCTTCTTTTCTTTTTTAAATTGTTTTAGTGTTTATTGTTGTTTTGGGGGAAGAAGACAGGGGGAGCTAGGACGAAGAGAGAGATGAAGTATAAAATGAGTATGAAGGACAATATTTTCATTATTTTTTGTTGAATTTTTTTTCTTGAAAATCAGAGGTCTTGAATCAAGGTCAAGAAGTCAAAATTTGGGTTTTGGATCAAGGTCACAGTTTGGGTCAGAAGTTGGATTCCGAACTCATTTCAGGTGATGGAGTTTAAGGAAAGTTTTGAAAAATATTTTTCTGTAGGAATCGAGCCTAACCCCCTTCAATGACTCACAACCAATTGGGGATGGTTTTTTGAAAAAAAGAAAAAGTGTATTTATAGAGGTTGCTACACCCTTACATATATTAAAGAGAGTACAATTACATGATATTTCCCTATTAAAGAGAGTGCAATTACATGTATAAGCTTCTGCTCTATCAAGTATGTCCACTAATCAATCTACAAACCCACAAACGGTGGTTAAAAGGGGGCAAGTTTATTAGCTTACTGCCAGCTCTGTCATTGCAGATTGCTGCTAGTTATCTTTCTTTGGATCCACTCTCACTTCGGCTATGAAAGATCAAGATGAAAATAAAGACAAGTTTAAGAGATCTGTCAATCCAATGAGCACGATATAATTAAGTAAACAAGTGTTGGGTTTTTTAATTGGGTTGATCCATAGAATTGTGAATCAATTTGGATCTAATTGCAGGTAAGACAATAAAAATAATATCATATATTTAATTAATGATAAATTTAGTTGAATAATTTTATTGATACAAACATCTAAGTTGAGTGATTTTATTGATACAAAATAAAGTTTAATAATTTTACTAGATAAATTCTCAAAGTTGAGTGACCTTTTGTGATATTATCTCATTTTAAAATGTATTAATCGAACGGATACCCACCCATTTTGCACCCCTACTCTCCAACATAAAGTCCATTTTACCACTTTCTGTCTGTTTCCTTTTCATCAACTACTTTAACCCACTGTCCTCCCAACTACTACTCATATCTTCCTACTGCCTCAAGTGCTAGACTTAGGACGGCCAACCGCTCAAGTACATTTTTTTTATGTATTATTTTGAGTCGAGAAGGAAAAAAAACAAACTCAAGGATACATTAAGGTAGCAATACTTTTACAACGATAGAGGCTACACATCACACATGCGTAGCTTTATTTAGAGAATACAAGTAGGTAGGTACGTACGTACAAACATGATGAAAATAATACAGTGAAAAGGATCGATACATATTATTTGGTCGAAATTAACCAAATTATACAATCGATTTAATTCCAATGTTAGTATCCTTAATGAAGACAAGATTGAAGGTATTGCCTGTTCCTATGGCCAATCGCCTTCCGGCAGTATAGTCGATGCCAATGTCAGTGCAGATGGGCTCTCCATAAGGACAAAACATCAACTTATACATGTAACTTCCAGTTTTCTTAATTTGAAACCATGAGGCCACATTCTTAACATGTCCAGCCTCCCCATTGGTGTCCAAGTACATTGGCATAGCATGTCCTGGGAAACCTTCTACTTGCCACACTGTGTTGTTACAAAACCCACTTGGATTGTCAATATAGAACTCAATGTTAACATCGCTCGATTCAGTTATTTCTACTTGTTTCGCTGCCTTTGGTTTGAAAATCACTGGCCAACCTCTGTCCAAATCTCGCCCAGACTGCAACACCTGTAACCAAAAAAAAAAAAAAGAAGATAAAAATCGACTTGTTGAAATATAATATAATCAACTATATATATATATATGGTATTTGATTGAATATACAACATTACCAATGTGATATCATGCAAGACTGGAGTTTTGGGAGAATGGATGCATTAGATTTCACATTAAATGGAAAATTTAATATAATTTAGAAAATAATCTCTTTTATGGTCTTGAGAATTTCTAATTATGAGTTAACTTTTTTGGTTGAATTATGACTAAACTATAAGTTCTTATCATGATATTACAACTTATGTTTGTTTCAATTTCTTGGTTTATTGGATGTAGAACCAGTACTATTATACCGTTGATGCTCTAGATGTCCAGTCCTTGGGGTCTCCTTATATGTCTTGGGATACCATGGATCATCTCATCGCTTATGGAGTTGAGTTAGGTTCAGAACATGTTTTTTAATCAAGAGTATCCACACAAATTAGAGATAAATAATTATTAAAAATATACTCGATGATTAATTTTTTAATAGAGATGATCGATTATATAGTTTAACAAACCTGAAAGGGACAGACGAAGTTAGCGTCATGACCAGCTCCAATGCCACGGAATACTCCGCCACCTCCGGCTCCGTTTATTGCTGACACGACAAAGTACCTGGAGTCTGGTGTGAGAATATCGCCATGAATGTCACGCACCACCTGCAACACTGGATTAGGAGTTGTTGTAGCACTAGTGCATGAACACCAAAATGCAAGGAGAAATGAAATTAGCAAAACAACGCTCTTCATTTTCTTTTAGTCTAATGTGCATGCTTCATACAGGACCTCTCAATTTATAGACAAGAATTTCATAATTAATTTTAACGGGTCGGGTCGGAAGCAATGGGTTAGGGTTTGAGTTAAAATTGATGATCCATAATTTAGTGAAAATCTAGTTGGCAACGCTGAGGTGAAGGAATTAGTTCCACGTGGCTTGCCACATCATTAAAATTTTGGATGGTTAAGTCTTGAGGACATTTATGGACTCTTGGTATAACGGTGGAGGCATTTTTATCCCAAAATGTAACGAAAGGTAGATCTATTTTCATATAGTTCAGGAGCAATTTTGACATTTTTCTGTTTTCATTATATAGCTACAGGATGGATTGGAGTACGAAAGAAAATATTTTGTCAAAAGGGCAACCTTCTAATGATTGAATTAACGTCGTTAAAATTAGGATGGGCGCCGTAAGGCGCGGAATTCCATGCACCTTGTAAGGCTCAGTTGTCATGCGTCTTACAAGGCGCATGGAATTCCGCGCCTTCCTCTAATTTTTTTAAAAAAAAATCTATTTCATTCCGATTAAATTAATTTTATTTTTTTTTACTATCTTTGTCGTGGTTAAAACTTAAAAGAAGCTAAATGAATCCACGTATTTGATATATATTAATATTATTTTACTGTAAAAAATTTTGTTCAAATTTTATTTGCTTGTGATTTTTATATATTTTTTTTTAGTAAATATTTATTCATTTTAATATGAATAAATTTTTTATCACTTTATCCAACAATTTTCGACTATTAATTGAATTATATTTTTTTTATTTTTGTTGAAACTTATCCACAGTATGTACCCACGTGAAAATTTAAAGTGTTGATTTGATTCAACACCGTAAAACTTTCACGGAAAATTTACAGAATCCAAGCAAGGCGCGTGGGCCCCGCACAAGGCTAAGGTGTTGTGCGCCATTGCTTTGAATTAATTGTTACCTTTTTATTATTTTTATTATTTTTTTTCAAATATTATTTGTTTGTATAAAAAATTTACAGTAAAATAATATTTGAACAAAAAAATATATATCAAATACGTGCACTTAAATACTTCAGTAATTTTTCCTATGAGAAAATTGAAAAATCTTAAGCAAAAAACACCAAGGGCTGCATAGAAATTGATGTGCTTGCCAACGAAAATATGCCATCCGCCATCGTATATTCGTATTTGTTTGACACGTTTCAGTAATGGGATAGTCTTATTGATGCGGTCCCCGTCAGGACATTAACATTCATTTCTGGACATTAACTAGATTACATGATAAAAATGGAAAAAAACTTGGCCACCATTTATCTTCTATGGTGGATATAAATTATTCAAACATCGTCGATCAGAAAATAAGTTGAGAGTTGAGACTATGGGTGTGTTTGGTACAAAGGAAAAATGTTTTTCAACTTTTCCATGTTTTATTGGCTAAAATGTTTTGAAAATTTCAAGTTAGCTCATTTTCCTCAAATTTAAGAAAAATAATCTCCCTTCAAAAATTAAGGAAAATAATTACAAAGCACAAAAGCTTACTCCATCCTTCAATCTTACTTTACCCCATACCTGTAATCGACCCTCCTCATAAAAAAAACTAAATTAATATTTTTAATTTTTTTTATATTTCAAATATTTTTTTTACCCCTACCCCCAAACCAATCCCCCTTCCTCAAATAAATAAAATAAAAAATTTAAAATGATTTTCTAAAAATAATTCAAATTTCAAGATTTCTTTTAGCTCACCCAATCCCCCCCTCCCCCTCAAATTTCAAGATTTCTGTTTAAAAAAGTATTTCAAATTTTTTTAAAAAAAATTTACCCCGACCCCCCATCCCCCACCTCAATTAAAAACTGTTTTTGAAATATATTTCAAATTTAAAAATTTTCATTTTTCAACCTCCTGCCACCCTCATCAGACCTTTTTTTTTAAAATGATTTTGAAAAATATTTCAAATGTTAAAAAAAATTCACCCCCAAATATTTGAAAACTTCTTCTTCTTGATTTCATCCTTCTTTCCACTAGTTTCCAGGCCAGATTATTATAACATTTTTCATCGTCGTATTTTGAATTAATCGCTGAAATATATCACCTCCTTTTAGGCCTCATTTGTTTTCATTAAGATTAAGAGGTCTGAATCTGAATGCACATCTGAATATTAAGATTAGCATTTAAATTAAAATGTCAAAATCTGAATGCTTGTCTGAATATTAAGATGTAGTTTCTAGGTCTAAACACGAAATCATTAAGATTGTTTGTTTTCAATAGTTGGACATGCATAATATTTTTTTTAAAATTAGGAATTAAACACTATATCAATAAAAGTTATAATCCAAACCAAGAATACTTCTTCCAAAAAATTGTTTCAAGAATAAGATTGGAACTCACCCCAGAAAAAAAGATGATTTATTTGTTTTCTCAAACAATTTTTTCCCAAGAAACAATGATATTTTCTTCCAAAGAAGTTTTGACAACAAACGAATTGTGACAAGAAGAGTTCTTCATAAATATCAGTTCACCCAAAAATATTCTATATATTAAAAATATAGCAATACTTGTAAAAGATTATGAAAACTTACTTATTCAAAAGAAAAAAAAATGGTATTTGGTTGGAAAAGGAGAAGAAGAAACCTGAAACTTGTCCGGAAGAGAAGCAAGGAAGAAGAGAATTTTTTTACGAAAGAACACTTTTTATTTTAATAGAGTCTGAATGGTATTAAGACTCTGTTATAGATCTGATTCATTCAGACTCATTAAGACCCATTAAGAGGTTTTTTTTAAAAAGAAACAAATGGACTTAATGGAATGAATCTTAATGATTAAGATTCAGACCTAAAAATCAAACGCACTTAATGGGTTAAATCTAAATGATTAAGATTCAGACCCTCATTAAGTACAAACAAATGAGGCCTTAGTTATATTCATGAGTCTCTAGTGGAATAAATTGAACATATTTGAGGTTATATTGAGACTTGTTGAAAATTTATCTACGTAATAAATACTGATTAGAAATATGCATAAATTTGAATTTGTTTAAATTTGGATTCAAAGTATCTCATAGGATTTAACACTTTATCATTTATTCATATATATGTTCAATTATAACAAGTCTAAATTAAATTTACTCCAAATTTTAAGAGATGTCGTACATTAACCCTACTACTACTATATATTATATGTTCAACTAATCATCCTACTTCATAAACACGTTTTAGTTATGTCTAGTCTCTAATGGTCCCGTCGGCACATTAAAATATATCCATTATTGGCCTGCAACAGTGCAACTGCAATTAGAGTTGATGATAAGAATGGAAAATTTGGGATTAAGTCTGAATCGCGCACTGCAAAATTTATTAGTGGTAGCACTTCCAATAAGACTTTCTTCATATCTTGGGCTTAAACTCGAGACCTCTGATTAATGATGGACCAGTTCCAGTACTACATCATAATCCATGTTGGTCATTCATTTAATATTAGTTGATCATATTATAAAAATAATTATCTCAAATTTTTTGTCAATATAAAATCGAAAGAGAATTAATTTTTTTTTCCTCATTTTAACCTTACAATTATTTTTCTAAAAAAAGTTAAACAAATTTGTAAATATTTTTTCAGAAAAAAATAATAATAAGAGGGTAAATTATTTTTTTAAAAGAATAAACAACTAATATGGAGCAAAGTTTTTACAATTTAAACCTATCTTTAGAGAAATATGAACTCTATCTCAGATAAATGAATGATATGTAAAACCAAAATTCATTAAAATAATGAAAAAAGTAATTTACCTCTTTGTATACTTGTGATTATCAAGATTTAGTTTTGAATTTGGAATATGCAAACATGTATTGAATGGATTAAGAAAGAAAGGAAGATGGTTGTGGGGGGAGGTAAATTAAGTATATATGCTAGTAAATTATGTCTAGTTAGATAGTTTTTCCTTTTTAGTATTGGACTTTATGTTGTTTACTCCTTCCATTTCAACTTACGTAATTTAGGACTCGTCCATTGTAGGAGCAATTATTGATTATTGATCAACTTCACAATGCCAGTGACGGTGAAGTTGAAGGAATTTAAAACGAGTACATGATATTGTTTATGAGCAGTCAAATTTAAAAGCTGTGAATAGGCAAAAGAGTAAAGTATTGAAAATATTTTTAAACTTGATGTGAATTATTAATTTTGTCTCTAGATTATTAATAACTTTAAAAATATCCATTTACTTGATTAATTGAACTTAAATACACTTGTGATCTTGCCTTATGGGTGAAATACACCCCTAAATTCTCATCAAGTTTAAGGTGTTTTTAACACTTTTCGCAACTTTTTATTAAGAGTTTCACGCTCCTACAAGAGTTTGAGACCATTTTTTATGCCATGTGACAAATCGGAATGTATTTAAGTTGAGTTAGTCAAATAAAGTGATATTTTTTAAAATTGTCAATAATTCGATGATAAAACAAATAATTTACATCAAGTTCCGTACTTCTCTATAGATAAAAGGATAATTATATTTTATTATGGGATGTCTTGGAATTTTCAAATCTAGCCAATTGATTTGCTTGCATGACAACTACTTTTCTTTTTTTTAATCGGAACTTCATTGGCATATTTTAGTTATGAATAAAAAGTTGATTTGGAGTAATTTTGAAGCAAATATATATTGATGAATTTTTTACACAATAAATTATAAGAGTTGTTTATGTAGTTAAATAATCATCTTAATAGTTATAAGTGTATACATTATTTTGTCAAGCTTTGATATTGAATACCTATTCTTCTTCTTTTATGAATGTTCTTCTTGATTTCATCCTTCTTTCCACTAGCTCTATTTTAAGTTAATCGTATGAAATATATCACCTCTTTTTAGTTATGCTCATGAGTCTCAATTGGAATAAATTGAACAGATTTGAGGTTTTATTGAGACTTATTGAAAACTTATCTACGTAATGGACACTAATTGAAAACATGCATAAAATTAGAATTTCTTTAAATTTGGACTGCAAGTATCTCATAAAAAGATTTAACACTTTATCATTTATTCATAGATTCAATTATAACAAGTTTAAATCAAATTTACTATATAGTATTTGTTCAACTAACCATCCTACTACATTAACACGTTTTAGTTATGGCTAGTCTCTAATGGTCCCGTCGGCACATTAGAATATATCCATTATTGGCCTGCAACAGTGCAACTGCAACTAGAGTTGATGATAAGAATGGAAAATTTGAGACTAAATCTGAATTACGCACTGCAATGTTCATTGGGTGTAGCATTTCTAACAAGACTTTCTTTATACCCGGACACAAATTCGAGATCTCTGATTAAGGATGGAGCAGTCCCAAAACTATACACCACAACTCATATTGGTCATTCATTCAATATTAGTTGATCATATTATAAAAATAGTTATCTTAAATTTTTTGTCAATTTATAAAATCAAAAAAGAATTAATTTTAAAAAAATTCTCATTTTAACTTTACAATTAATTTTTTTTAGAAAGTGCAAACAAGTTTGTAAATTTTTTTTTTAAAAAACAAATAATAACAAGAGTGTAAATTATTTTTTAAAAAATAAACAAATGGAGCAAAATTTTTACAATTTAAAACCTAGACCTATAGTATACCAATAGCCGCCTCCTAATCATAAACAAAATACAAAGGAACTCGAGACCCAAGTTCGAAAATGTATTATAATTAGGAAAAATTACCTTGTAGACAATAAAATTCGCGTCAAGAAAACAATAATAAAAAATGGAAAATGATCGCAACAATCGTATTTATTATTTCAAGTGCGAGTGTTACAATTTCTATGATTCCTCTGAATTCGCCTTTCAAATATAAATTCAAGGGCTCTTGAGCTTGATCTTGAACTTAAACTTGAACTTTATCTTGATCTTGACTTTTACTTAAATTCAAGGGCTTCGAGCTTGTTCTTGAATATGATGGTCTTAATCTTGATCGTTCTTGAACTTGAATGCTTGAATTCTTAAATTTGTAGCTTTATAGAGAATTTTATGGCGTTTGTACCACGGATTTTCTCTAGCTTCTTGTTTAGAATTTTCCGTCTCTTTTCTGAATTATGAGGACCCCTATTTATAGTTTTAGAATAGAGGAGTTGCGATTGGAACAGAATTCCCTTCGGCCAATCAGATTTAAGGGACGTGGCATATGGGCTTTATGGAGCGGGCTTGTCATCTTTGACACATGTCATGATCCTATTGGCTTCTTGTTTGACTTGGCATGCCACGTCATTTGCCACATGGTACTAAAAGAATGGGCCTCTAGGATAAGATGACATTGGACTTAGCAAATTGGGTTCATCTATTGTAGCCCAAATCAATTAATTTGACTTTATTGGACTTGAATAATTAGCCCAATTATATTAATCCATAATTTATTTGGGCTAATATATTCATGAATTTGATATAATCCGAATCATTTTATAAATTTATATTTAATAAATTTTAAATGATTACAAATGCCCACTGCTTCAAGTCTTGTCAAAATATTTTATCTTTTGAAGACTAGACTTGAAGTATTAATTACACGATAATTATATACCATGCATTTTAGATTATTTTATTGGTATATACTCCAGCGTAATTGGAGTATAGAAATGATATTTAAGTATCATATTGCCAACCTCCAATTATCCTTAGCCAATTAGATTTAGGAGAAAGGATAATTAGATGTTTGTTTTACCAATCAGCAGTCCAATTGTAGCACGAAAAGGATAGCTTTGCCGTTTTTTTTTTCTTTTTATTTATTTATTTATTAATTAATTCCTACTGCCATGCTTCCTTAGGATTTTAAGCTGAAAAGAATTATAATTGGTATAAAATATGAATTCTTCCGGTGTCGTATTAACATCTAAAAAAAGAGTTTAAGTTTTGTGCACTGTCAGTGTAGTAAATTTCTACACCATCAGGTAACTTACTTTAATAAAATATTATAATTATAAAAAAGAAAAGAAAATAATATCTACCATTTACTAAAAAGAGAAGAAGAAGAATATCAATAGTTGAGTCCTATTTGGATTCTAACCAAATTTAGTTCCATAATTAAATTATTTTCTTTCCAAGATTAATACAATAATTAGGTTTATCGTAGGTTTTCCCTTAAGATCATCGCTCATGTAATTCTTCAAACATCATACTTTCTGAACCTAGTAAGAAATAATTTTTTAGAACTTCAAAACATTCTGAAACCTTGACAAGCTTCTTCTACTCAACGGTATGTCGCGAGAACAAATTTCATATATTTTCTTGTTTATAAGCATAAAAAAACTCCTTTTGGACAAATCTTCATTAGCAAAATAATTCAATGTACTAAAAATTAGGTGAATATAGCGTCGAGAGAGGTGAATATTGCATTTAAAGTATTGTCATATCGTCTCTAATTCTTCTGTTCTACTCCAAGTTATTGGGAAGAAATTTTATTAGTTGAACTTCACTACTGAATATATTTTCCAAAGGAAGTGTTGAATAATAAATAGACATATTCATAATTTTAAGCTATCTAACATTCATAAATGTATTTTGCAGCATCAATGGAAAACTCAAATTTAGATGAGCAACATACAAAAGTTGAAGTTTCATTAGAAGAAAGTGATAGGGAAGAAACAAGACAGATTGTTTCCGAAATAGGAGTTGGAAATTTGAGAGACCCCTATATCGGTAAGGAGTTTCAGTCACTTGATGATTCATTTAAATTTTATCTCAATTATGCTCATTGTAGCGGTTTTAGTGTACATCGAGGTCGTATGACTAAGTCAAGAAAAGGTAAATCAATAATTGGTCAAGAGTTTGTCTGTTCAAAGCAAGGATTTCGTTCAAAGAAAAATTTAGAAAGTAATAAACCACGAGATGAAACCAGAGAAGGATGCAAAGTGTTGTTATATATGTCAAAGAAAGAAGAAGGTAATTGGGTTGTTTGTAGGCTTGTTGCTAAGCACAATCATGAACTTGCATCTCCAAATAGTAAAAAATTCTTGCGATCAAAAAGAAAAAAATCTGATGCCCAAAAGAATCTTATTGATTTACTTGATAACTCTAGAGTTCGTCCAAGTAAAATAGCGTCAGTGTTGATGAATCAAGCTGGGGGTGTAGATCGACTGAATTTAACAAGTCAAGATATCCAGAATTATTTGCAAACTAGAAGACAAAAAGATCTTGAAAAAGGAGATGCACAATTAATGCTACAATATTTTCAAAGGCGTCAATTTGAAAATCCAGGTTTCTTTTATGCAATTCAAATGGATGTAGATGGTCATTTAGCTAATTGTTTTTGGGTTGATGCTAGATCTAGGATTGCTTATAAGAATTTTGGGAAAGTAGTTGTTTTGATCCTACATATCTGACAAATAAATATAAGATGCCTTTTGTTCCATTTACTGGAGTTAACAATCATTATCAGTCTATTTTGTTTGGTTGTGCTCTACTTTGGGATGAAACTCAAGACACTTTTGAGTGGTTACTTCGTACTTGGCAAAGAGGCAATGTTCGGAGTTGCGCCTCATACAATCATAACAGATCAAGATTCTGCCATAACAAATGCAGTTGCAACAGTATTTCCTAACACTAAACACCATTTTTGTATGTGGCACATAACAAAGAAGATTCCAGAATATTTAAGTCATGTTTATCATCAGTATGTTGATTTTAGTAGCAAGTTTAGTTGGTGTATTCATGGTACAACCACTCCTGAGGAATTTGAAACAATGTGGATAGAAATAATGGAGATGTATAATTTAGGAGAGAATAGTTGGTTGCAGAGAATATATGCAATTCGTGAAAAATGGATACCAGCATATGTGCGTACTACTTTTTGTGAAGGCATGTCAACAAGTCAAAGAAGTGAAAGTATGAACAAATTTTTTAAAGATTATTTGAATTCTAGTACTCCAATGAGTATATTTGTGGTGCAATATGATAAGGCTATTGACGCTAGATATGATAAAGTAAGGGAGAAGGATTACAAGACAAAATATTCAAGACCTATCTTGAAAACTTTGTATCCTATGGAGGATGAAGCGGCGAAGGAATATACAAGAAAGATATTTCAGATTTTTCAAGAAGAACTAATTCAATCTCAAAAATTTATCTCTGAAAAGATTGAGGTTAAGGACGGAAGAAACATCTATAAATTGCATCAACTTCAAAGACAAAAGCCGACATACATCGTTAGTTTGGATCTTGCATTGAAAAGAGTTGTTTGTTCATGCCACAAATTTGAGTTCATGGGAATTCTATGTAGACATGTACTAATGGTATTTATAAAGAAGCAGATTCACTCACTTCCGACATATTATTTATTAGATCGATGGAGTAGAAATGCAACCAAAGAAAGAGCTAATGATCCACCAAATGAAACAAAAAATTTGAAATCTTCTACCTTATGGTTTAATAACATTATGATACATTCTATTAGGGGTGTACATGGCCGGGTTGGTTTAGGTTTTCAAATATCAAACCAAACCATTTGTGTCAGATTTTTAAATTTATAAACCAAACCAAACCAATAAACTCGGGTTTTTCAACCTCGAATTTTTTCGGGTTGGTTTGGGTTTTTCCGGTAAGTATTCATACAAACATATAATTTACTAGTACTTCAAATATTTCTTTAATCCTACCAAAATACAACTATCTAAGATGTTTCTTAAAAAAATAACACAATAAGATATGATTAATGACACTAAAATATCCAACAAAAATAATAAAAATGAAATCGCGTAAAACAAATATTGCAAATTAACAAGTCATCATGAAAATGATACTTAATAATTTAAAAGTACTAAATCATGCTAAAATTAAGTTTAATAAGTATTAGTTACATGACTAAATATTAAAGGAAATTAAAATTAGATTATGTATTTTAATTGTCTAAACCAATGTAAAACTAAAGTATGCCACATCATTTACGGTAAAGAACTATTCATTTTTTATTCTATCGTTTGTATATTATGTACATGCTAAAGTGTGTGTTGATGAATTATAACTCTTCCTTTCAGGAGTTGATGAAAGCAGCTTCAACTCCATTCCAACAACACCATCCTAGTTAGCGAGTAAGAAGATGAAGGATTTGGAGCTTTGAGAATACAGGAAATAAGAAGAAGCAGTTATTTAGATTTTAGTTTATTAGTTTTCTTTGAAATTTTTTAACTTTGAATAGTACTTTCATTGTTTATTTTGACATGTATATGGGATAAAATTATATGCTTGTATTGCAGTTTGTCCTCTATTTTTAGGTCTAATAAATTATATTTTTTGTTACGTGTGAAAATAGATGCACTTTATATCATTCGAAAGTGAGTGTAAAATGTAAGATTCCTCTACAAATCAACAAATTTTACTCTAAAAATAGCTGATGTTATAACATGTGTTGTCGAAAACCTTAATAAAAACTAGTTGTGCCATAATACAATTATATACAGATAGTTTTCTGGTGGTGTAGAAAACCTGTTCCTTCACGATATGCAGACTTATATGATGCTCCAGATGTGGTTGAACTTTTTACGTCATTCTCCTCCCCAATTAGCTGCTAATAATATCATGAGTCTATGAGTTTCCTCTTCATTGCTTAGTTTCAAAGATGTAAAATTTGAGATATATATATATATATGTCAAAGATCATAAATATAATTAAAATCACTTATTCGATAAATTTTTATTGATAAATAGTATCAGAATGATATACATGAATTTGGACTTATATTAGAATACATACTTAGATTCTAACAAGTTCAACAAGTTTGTCATACATAAAATGAAACTTAATTTCATACAATAGTACAAATTTTACTATAAAGCGTCTCTCTTTTCTCTTCGAAGCATCTTCCATTCCTTTTACCTCATATAGTATATATGCTGCTTGGGGTGGATAAGAGGAGTTGTATATGCATCGTTATCGATCATTGTGAAGATAGAAATATGTCTTAGAAGGAGCATCTTTGGATGACTTGGTTCAGAAACAATGGGAAAGAAGAGGTTATCTTGGCATGCATACAGAAGCAGAATGACTATAGCTTTATTGATCTACATATCCCTGCTAGTCGTGTCAAAGCAGACGACATGAATGATCTAGCTCGTTTGGCTGATTAGTATGGTTCATGAGAGCTCAACTCACTGTGGAACAGAACATAATTATTCCCAACATTGAGAACTAAAGGGGTTCACAAATGCAAGTATTTCTGCAAGGCTTTTCGAGGAGCTTGTTGGTGTTCTGACGCCACTCGGGGATGATGAAAAAATATGCTCCATGAGCATCGATAAATCATGTTCCATGAGCCACCAACCAACCAAAAAACAAAACTCAATAGACTTCTTACGTGAAAATTTACAGAGAAAGAGAATCAGTAACTTATTCATAACAATAAAATTAATTCAGAATATGATCAATCTGTCCAAAAATAATTTAGGTAAATTATGTCTCTTAATGTTGGAAGTATTACAGAGAAATAGGATTAGTAACTTAATTCTGTTTTCTCTTCCCATCTATTGTTAGATAAGGGTATTGATAAATTATGCCCACACAAATGGTATGAAGAACACCATCATCTATAGGAAGATTGAATGAATTACTCATAAACAATGAAATTCTATTAGAGTAAATTGATTGTGCAAATAAGACACATTAATCACATAATAATTCTAAAATTAAATTATTAATAAAGAGAGAATAGTTTCACTAACATAGATCTACAGTACTCACATAGCAAAATAGGTTATTGAATTTGACACTTTGATTCTGTAAATTCACCTGCAAATGCTTTCTTTATACTAATCAATAAAATAACCATTAGTTAATTAGAGTGAAGAATGATAAAATAAAAACAAAATCATAACCCTCCATGTGTACGAATAAACAAACAAAATTGGAATATCAAGATATGCAGATCGGAAGAAAACATAAAGAGGAAGTAGGTCAAATGTGATATGCAGATTGAAAAAAAATAAAAATAAAGAGGAAGTAGGTCAAATGCGTATAAGAAGGAGTAACTGCCGCTGAATATCAGCTATTTTAGAGGGATAAAGACGGGGGATTTTAATTTCTAGGAGAGAGAGAAAAAGAAGTTAATTTTATTTTTTTATTTTTTAAAAAAGATTAGGGAGAAATTAAAATTACCTGATGGTGTAGAAATTTACTACACTGACAGTGCACAAAACTTAAACTCCTAAAAAAATAAGAGTTACAATTGGTATAGGATATGGATTCCTCCACCGCCATAACCCATATTAACATCTATAAATAGAGGCTAATGTTTTTCTATTCTCAACATCAACCATTACGAGCTTCTCTTTCTTTCGCAGACCTTCGAAGTGCAACACGAGAGCATAAAGGTACGTGTTTTTTTTTTGTTACTTCGTTCCATTTTTTTCGTGTGGTCCTCTTTTCTTTTGTTTTTTCTTTTGCAGTTCATGGATTGATATATATATATATATATATTGGAAGCCATGAAATGGAGAGTTATCATAACACAAGAATTTGATTTTAAGGTGTGAAGGGATTAGTTTAACGTCCCCACCTTGAAAAAAAATACTACTCTCAAGGCTTTACAAGGTCCTGAATAAGCATAAGGTGTGAAGGGTTGTGTTTAACGTCCCCGCCTTAAAGATCACTTTACTTGAGGCTTTACTAAATTCCGAATACTTGAGCATAAGGTGTGAAGGGATGTGTTTAACGTCCCCGCCTTGAAGATCACTAACTTGAAGCTTTACTAAATACTGTGTTTAACGTCCCCGTCTTGAAAAAAAATACTACTCTCAAGGCTTTACAAGGTC